TTGGCACTGTAACTTTTCGCTTGCCTTCTCCACCTTTGCATTAGTTTCATTCTTAATTTGTGCTTTTCTAAATACAAATAATGCTTAGTCAGCATCAGACAGTAACAGTAGTTTCCCAGCCATCGAAGCAAACATTCACAGCTACAGGTTTTGAGGAATTCATGTTAACCTCAAAAACAAAGTGTGCTCCATTTTAACTCACGTTTTATAAGAACACAAATACATTAATAGGCATGAAAATGAAAAAAGTCACAAGAAAAGGAACATCCTTGTATTCAGATTAAGAAGGTTTCTTGGGTTAAGAGTCTTATTCAGAGTGTGAGGAAGATAAAGCCATCATCACCCTGTTGGTTACTCTGGGATTTGGATCCTTGCTGTGCTGTGTGTACAAGTGCTGACACATGGCCAGAGCTGCAAAGAGTCTCATTAGAATTTGCCAAGTGCTAAAGCTCTTATCAAGAAGCATGCAAAAATCTATCAAGTTAAGTTTATCTGCCTTACCCGAGAGCCTGTGCATTTTGTACAAAGTGGATATTCCCCTCGGTAGGGATGCTCTGAACAGCTCAGCTCAGATTTCAAACACTCAGAAAGCAGTGCCCATAGATTGCTATGCTTCAGGCTACTTACACTACCACATCGGTGACATATCCTCTTCAATTTTCCTCTTTCTCCAGGATAAGAATGTGAATGGAGGTATTAGCAAAGATAATACCGTAGAAATTATCATTAACATTTACTATACAGAAGAGCCAAAAAAAAAAAAATTAAGTGAGAATAAAAGCATCATGTGTCAGTCTCATAGTTGCATAGACTTTTGGCAACTCATATTATTTTCCTTGACACAATCCTCTTTTTCACTTGATTTACAACGTGTTTATATACATGAAAATAAATACCATACGGTGGTAACACAGTGGTATGAAAATCAGTGTAAAGCAAGAGCTGAAGTACTGGATTGTACCACAAGGGTGAGACTACTGGAGCTGTCTAGTGAACTAATTCGTGTTTCCAGAGAATCACAGCTTGATAGGAATGGCAGTCCTTCTTTGGAATAAGCAATGACCTGAAATGCTCTTTACCCTTTTAAAACTTAGCTGGGAACCCAGGAACAAATGAACCCTAATCTCATTAGGTTGCATTAAAGACCTTCTCAAATGATGAGAGACAGAAGCAGTGCAGAAGCTTTGACTGACCAGCATGTGCTATCACAAGGGCCAGCTGCTCACATTTACAGAGGCAGCTGCAGTAGAGCTGGCACAGGCAACTTCCAAACAGATTAGAACAATAGCGTGGGCTGGAACGCAGCTCAATCCCCAAATGGAAAGTGAGAACATATATAAAGTCCCCAGATAAATGACAGAGACCTATTTACTTGGAGTGCAACGTTTCCACGTTGCCTGCCTATACTGGGATGGGTTCTCCTGTTTTCTGTGTCTGTTAAAATATGAAGATCATGTGCAAAGAACACCACCTCTACTGTCCCAGCAGAGATCCTGTAGATCTCTGTTTGGGCCTCTGGCAATACAGCAGAAATTTTAAGTACTCAATTGATTCCTATGTTAATTTGGAATAAGTGCCTATGCTTGGCCTTCCACAGGGACATCAGCCCATCCTCTGGCTGACTGAGGTCATGTTTTATAATGGTAACATTCCCTGTATAGACACTAATGTCATCCTATCTCTGCTCTCCATGGCAGGTTACCAACATTAGGACTGGTTTAACAGATGAGATAACTCCTGTTCCCAAGTTAAATTCAGTTTCTGAACACCCTTATCAATGCTCTGGTAGAGGCCACAGTAGCAAATATGAAAATAATTTTTAAAGGCCTGATCAGCAACCATTTTAAAGCATTGCTTGCACTGAAGAAGGTCAGATTGCTCTTTTCCCCAGGTCAGAATGTGGGAATGTTTACAGAAGCCATTAAGTGCCACAGTAAGAGCACTTAGAGAACTCAACTCCCTGCATGTACTGAGGGGTGAGGAAAAATCCGCCAGAAGCACCTTTTTGTCACCAAACTCTCTCTTCATTTATCATAGGTTAAACACAAAAGTAGACAGAATATTTGGGTAAACTGATCAACACTCATCCTAAATGTGCAAGGCAACTTCAAAAATTTGAAAATCGCAGCTCAGTCATTGTATTCTGGTAACAAACTACAATAGTTGATGTTTTGCAAAACCACAAAGGTTAAAACAGAGCACCAATATGAAAGAACCAAATACCCCACTGAACACTGAGAAAGCAGGAGGAGCAGAACTCTCCCGTTCCCAGCAGCACTAAGATCACAGACTAGACGACCAAGGAGAACATTAACAGAAACTTCACATCAGGCCAGCATTACTGTCCACATGGACATCCAGTAAAGGCTGATGTGACACCCAGAAAGAAGGGCAGCACGCTGGTTAGCCTCAGTTCTGAATGGTTAGTGTTCCAACACAAACACCAGCAGAGGTTACAGTGTTTCCTCATCCACCCTACAAGAGGATTGACTGTCCATATGTAACCCTTCCTGTCTCTAGTTTAGTAGGAAGACACACACAGTCTCCACACTGCTGGAAGAAATAACCAAGACTTTTCAGAATCCTTTCCTAGACTTTTGAAATAAAGCTTATAATCTCATTTTTACAGCCCTTGGTAAATCAGGGTTTTAAGGATTTCCATCCCGCTGGCTTTATCCAGAGCATCAGTCTGGACAGACAGATGCAAGTGTTCTCACTGCCAGGCTTGCCAGTGTGTTAACCTCAGCCAGTCAATGTCGTGGCATTTCTTGATGCCTCTTCCATCTTGTATTTCTGATGAAAACCAGGGGGTTCTTATTCACACCAGAACATTCAAACTTACCCCTGCACAAAGCAGCTCCTGCTGGCATTGGGCTGTGCCCACAGCCACAGGGTTTCAGCCCACAGATCTGCTGGCAGCATGCCCAATCTTTCAGAACAGCCCTCACCATGGCCTCAGCTGCCCCAGGCCCAGAGGCAGGAACCATCTCTAGCAGCACCTTACCAATTTTACCTCCCTCAACAGTTCCTATCTCCTCTCTACTCCTCCTCAACACCATTTACAGTTCCATAGTGGGAACGCATAGCGAGTCGCTACCAATATGTGCTTCTGCTCTAGGCTGAGTAAAAATAAACTTTATTCCTATACTGGGATTCCAGTTCATTGGAGGCATAACTCAACCACTGCACTGCACCATCAGAGATGGTGCCAGCAGAGTAACTTCCAAATTTGCTGCTGATCTTTTCCTCCCTTTAGAGAGCAGCTGCAAATCTGGGCAAACAGTCAAGTTTTCTTCTTTTTCTATTGAAGGATAAACAGTTTGTAACAAAAGAGAAAGAGCAGAAAGAGTGTTTGGTATCTACTTTTATCATCTATGGCAACAGTTTAACCACCAGATATGCTGCACGTTCATAATTTGCCAGAACAGGAATTCCTAAACCATCACTGAAAATGCTAGGTACCCTACTTCTTGTCGGGCAGGGTGACAGCTGACAAACAGGTGAGCTGATAAATTAAAAGACTGGTTTTTAACATTCAAGTTCTACAGAAGTGTTATCCAGGATACAAGGACTTTGGATGCTCATGAAGGCGCTTAAGTACTTTAAGTATTTCTGTATCAGGATATTTAAGCAGCTAAATACTTTGATGAAGTCTGTCTCCTCATTCAAAGCTGGAAATACATTACCATGAATATTTACCATGTCAAGTAAGGACATGAAACTTCACCAGCTCACACACACACATCTACCAGGCCAACCTATCCGTTTGTTCCGAAGTTAGAAGCTGCATCCTTAGCTAGTCACGCTGGTATCATGAATTTTTCAGCCCTGTGTCTCCTCTGAAACAGGCAAGCACTATTTTAGGAGACCAAATCCTCCCCATACACCCCCAAGAGGGGTCAAAATCCAGCAGAGCTGAATGCTACTCAACACTGAAGCAAAGCTTTATCAGAAATTGCTGAATCACAGTTCCTAGAAAGGGGTATTGGGGGTGGGAGTGGAAATATCTTGCCTCTTCCATGCAGGGACACTCAGGACAGTGAATGCTGTCATCTCTCCCTGCCCTTTGTAACAGCCAGGACCTGAAAGGCAGCCCCTAACATGCAGAGAGTACATAGCTTTAGGCTGTGCCTGGGGAGTATGAGGCTGGACATTGGGAGGAATTTCTTCACGGAAAGGGCAATTAGGTATTGGAATGGGCTGCCCAGGGAGGTGGCGGACTCACTGTCCCTGGAGGGGTTTAAGGAAAGACTGGATGAGGCGCTCGGTACCAAGGTCTGGTTGTTATGGTTCTGTTACGTGTTGGACTCGATGATTGCAGAGGACTTTTCCAGCCGGATTGATTCTGTGATGGATGCACTGCTGACAACAGAACCAGGGTCTGTGTACCCACCACACCTCCGTACGGATTGCAGGAGGTTAAGGCTTCTTCTAGCAGGGATGGGGTCCTGCACAAAAAGCTAGAGCTGGACTGCTAGGAGGCGATAGAACATTTATGTTATAGCGGATTGTGGCACGCCGAGACAAAAGCCCTCTGCAGAGAGTCAGTGATGCGTACAATTAGCATATTTCGCCCGCCAGCGCGGGAGGGAGATACCCACAATAACGCTACAAAGAGCTCTAGAGAGGGTACCCAGTGCACTAAAGTGAGGGCACGGACGGGGAAAGCGGCTCGTATCCCTTTCTCCCGCACATTCCGAGCCAGGGAGCCCCCGCCGCCTTTCCCGGCCCCGGCCCCCGCCGCCTCCTCCACACGGCCCCGCCCCGCCCCGCGCGCCTGGCCCCGCCCCCGGGGGGCCGGCGGCGTCCGCGATCGCCCTGGAAACGGTCTACGTCACCGCAACCGGCGCCTCCGATTGGCGGGAACTGTTCGAGAAGGCCGCCGAGGGCGGAAGCGGAAGCCGCACGTGGAGCCGGTGAGTGGCTGCCGCAGTTTCTGGAAACTTCGCCTCATTGTCATATTTAAAGCGGCGGCGGCGCCTCTGCGTCCCCTCCCCGCCCGCGCACGCTACGGGGACCGGCGGCCGCAGCAGCACCGGGAGCGAGCCGGGCAGAGCGGGGGCCTCCCTCTGGCGCCGGGGCCATGGCCGTGGTGGGCTTTGATCTGGGCTTCCAGAGCTGCTACATCGCCGTGGCGCGGGCCGGCGGCATCGAGACCGTCGCCAACGAGTTCAGCGACCGGTGCACGCCGTGAGTGTGGGGGATAGCGGGCACGGGCCGGTCCGTGCCCGGCGGGGCGCCCGCCGTGGAGAAGCTGCTGGAAGTTTCGCGGTGGGGCGTGGGGGGTTCCCGCTGTGCGGGGCCAGCGCGTTCCCCGGCACTCGCCGCCTCGGGGGCTGCGGGGGTTCGGTACAGGGTGGCGGGGCCGGGCGGCAGCCCTCTGTGTGTCCTTCCGAGCCGCTGCGTGCCCCCGTGCTCCCCTTCCCGCCCCGACTCGCTGTGTGCCCCGATCCCCTCAGCCGCTGGGTCCCGCTGTGCCCCCTGACCCGCTCTGTGCCCCCGGACCCCACCCGCGTTGTTCCCCTGTGTCCCCCGGTCCCGACCCTCTGTGTTCCCCCGGTCCCGGCCCGTTCCGTGCCCCGGAGCCGGAGCGCGTCCCGCGGGCAGTGCCCGGAGCTGTGCGGAGCCGCTCGGGCCGTGCTGCGGCGGGCGGGAGGATCCCGGGGGGCAGCCCGGGGTAGGTGGGACACGGGCGGACACGCTCCCACCCGTGCTGCGGAGGGTGGGCTCTGCCAGCTGCTCAGGGCAGCTCTCCCTTAGTCAGAGGTTAGATATAGAAAGCCTCTGGCTCCAAGCTGGAGTTAGTTGACAAGTTGGAGGCAGCCATGCACAGACGGGTAGGGTGTAGTCCGGCTGTGAGCTCTGAATTGCGATCATCCTGTTCCACCGTTCGGATAAGCCATTGGGAAAAGTCTTGGATTTGGGCCAAGGCTTTAAGACGGATAAAAGTCTTCCTGTAGTTTTTTTACTAGAGGAATGACACTTTGACAGAAAGGCTAAGGTGTTTTATCTGCAGTAGCAGAAAATAAGTCCGTGAGAGTTCTCAGTCGTGTTTGTTGTCAGGACCGAGTTAATTAGCCTGTTGTTCTTTCCAGGTCAGTGGTTTCATTTGGATCCAAAAACAGAGCTATCGGTGTTGCGGCTAAAAACCAGGTAGGTCATTTCCTGCTGCAAACTGTTGAAGTACCAGTGTGTGTGTAAAGTGAGTTGGCTGTGTGTATTTAAAGCCAAACAGCCTCAGTTTCTTGTCGAGTCTTTTATTTTAGAAATGCTGCACTATGCTGCCGTGCTTTCTTTGGAGAAATGTGGGATGTTTTTGCTAGAATGCTTTTGCTCTCTCCTTCATTAATGTAATACTTTCCAGTGGAATATGTTCATATTCTGACAAGTTAAGGTCGCTGGATTTCTTTTCCTAATGATTGTATACAGGATTTTCCTTGTACTTGATGGAAAGCATTTTAAATTCTGTATATAGTCTCTTAAAATTAGATGTAAAGGGAGAGCTTTTGCTCAGATTCTTAAAGCTATTTAGGGTACCTGACTACCTTTGGATTTGCTGTAAATTAAATGCTGCTGGTTTTGAAGGTGCAAGTCCTTATTTTGGTTTTTTGTTGGTTTTGTGTTTTTTTTTTTTTTTTTTTAATTGAGATGCTTTGAAAGATTGAATGTTTTCTTTGTTAAAGTAGTATTTTCAGTTTAGAAGGAGAACTTGATTCCAACAAGTCTCAGAATAACAAACTGTAATGATTAAACAAATCCTTAGGTATTGTGCGTTGTTACATAACTGCTGCTGGGAGATCAAGCATGCAGCCTCAGCTGGCCTGTGCATCTCTCTCATGTAGCAAAGGACTGCAGTGGGTTTCCATGGAGAGAGCACTGGAGGAGACTTTATTCCACTATAATAGCACTCCTCTTAATTTTGAATAGCCGAGGCAATACAAATACTTCACATGTTAACAAGCACGGGCACATTCAGTTACAGGTTAGCATTTGGAGTAATGAAGTAAATACATGTGTTTGTGGTTTTTTTCTTAAATTTCATTTCAGCATTGCTCAGTTGACTGCTGACATTGTTGCAAGTCAGAAACTAGTATGATTCATTAGTGTGCAAAAATGATTTACTCAAAATGAGAAATGATCTGAACCTGATGTACTCTCAGGCATGTTTCAGTATTGTTAGATTGTTCCAGTAGGTGCTGTGGAAAACATGAAGGAGGTAGAGTGAGGTAGATTCTCTCTTTGATTGCATTTACAAGTGTGTATTTGCAGTGATGAACACCTTTGACTTTAGTTACCTTCAGACTAACCTGTATGAGGTTACTTGATTGAGTGTTTCATGCTTGGCTCTCCTAGAAGTTGAAGCTAAATATTTTTGCCAGGAAAAAAGAATGCAATACTTTAAATGATAAAAGATGACAGATCATTTATTTCTGTAATTCTAAGTGGTCCAGTTTGGCTGATGACCTAAGCTGTGAATTGTGTTTCTTCTGTAAATGTGGAAGCTTCCTGACATGGACTACTGAGAGTTATGTTTTTGGTGTATTCAGGTGTAGTAGCTGCTTAAATCAAGGAGTACAATGATTGTTTTTAGTTGAAAAATAAAAAGCAAAAAACCAAAAAGATCCCACAAAATAAAAAGAGGTTTTGACTGGTGACTTCTACAGTGTGGTTTTGTGAGAGAGCTCAAAATACTCAAAGGTGCTGTCTTTAATATTTGAGAAATTGCTGCTGGAGCAAATTTTCAGCAAATTTCTGTAACCTTTGGGTAAGCATGGCAGCTCTGGAGATGAGAAAAGTACATTAGTTAACAGATCATAATTCTCAGCTTTCTTAATTGTGACTAAGCAAGAAGATATTAAAACATGCTACAGACCTAATGGCATACAATTACTCTAAAAATATCTTAAGATTGTTCTCTCAGAAAAGGCTTTGAGGTTAATTCTAAATTAGGCTATAAAAGCTGCCAGAATGTTTGTGCTTCTCTACCCACTACATGGTAATAATTCCTGCTGCTACGTTCTTCAGCCATACAGCTGTGAAATACGTAACATTCAGGCACTCTGAAGTTGTGGCTATACAAATAAATAAAACCATGCTGGGCAACAATCTTCAACACAGGAACCTAACTACTCAATCACATTTAAGTACTGGAATAGTTCCTGGCATGATTTTTGGCCTGCGTTAACTTGTGCTCGTACTATTAATTGCTGAGCACTGTTTGGTGATTGGAATAAACCAAGGATGACTCTTAGCAGGCAGCCCAAGTGTGACATCTTTCCACAGACAGAGCTGTCTGAGAGTTACTGCTTGCTAGTGGGAGTATGGCCTCCTTTTTTTGTCAGGGAGCTTTTCTGTAGGAGAACTGTCCTACTTGAGTACCTTTTTAATAAAGATGTAGCTCAAATTCTTCTATTCCGTGGTGGAAAATTTTTAATGCAACTAGGAATTGATGCTTTTCTTTGAGGGTAGTGAATGCTAGAAATATTCCTTGGTATGCTCATCATTTGAGTTGCTATCATGCAGTCTGTTGGTGCCTGCCTAAATCTATTCTGTAGATAATAACACACTTTTGTAATTTCTCTCTAATGAAATAGAATTAAGTCTACTCTGAGATACTTGCATTATCTTTTAGGCTGCTCTAGTTGTCTGGTTTCTGTTGTGCTTTGCATTTCTGATAACGAATGCTTCTTTTATGTCACGAGCTTGCATTGGAGTTTAGCACATATTCAAGCTGATGTTAGCAAAAAAAGTCCCAAGTTGTCTATGCACTGTATTCTTCTTTGGTCTAGTGTAGGAGTTTGAGTTTCTGCTTGATGAGTGTGAGCAAGGAAATGATGTGATTTCAAAGTAGCTCAGGGAAAAAAAGTAACTATTGAAATATACAGGGACACTCAAGCTTGACACTTAGTAACTAGGAAAGCCCTTGCTTGCACTTAATGTAATGATGTTTAAAGTGGAGGTGGTGTGGCTTGGGTTGGAGGGCCAGCTTACAGAGAGAGAAGCCAGCTTCATATGCAGTTGCAATCTCTAAACATTTGAATTTGGTCTAAGTTGAATTTGGGTGACAGCAGTGAGGTGCAAGGTGAGTGGCTCTGGTTGCCAGCACGATCAGCAGCAGAGTGCTCCAGTGCAGTGCACAGGGCGGTTTCCTGAACTGGGGGAGTGTCACGGGGAGACGAGAGCTGCCAGAAGCCTGCAGCTGAGTGGCAGTGGCTGATGGGACCTAGGTGGGGCCAGGAGCAACAGCAGCAGTTTTCCCCAAATACAAAAGGAGCCCTGGTGAGCAGGGTGTGGCTCAGCAGTGTGCAGGAAGGTGCAGAGGCAGTGCCAGCCCAGGCAGGAGCAGTGGTGCCCACCTGGCAGAAAGCCACGGCCCCACTCAGCTCCACACCCGGCACGGCTGCCCAGACAGCTCTGGCAGGGACACACTGCCAGTACTGGGTGGCACCTGCAAGGTGAGCCCTGCTCTCAGTGCCAGTAGTGGGTGGCACCTGTGAGCACAGATGTGGGAATGTGCCCAGGCACTCTTCCACTTAGTGAAGAACTCTGGCGGGAGGTGTGTGGGTTGAGGACTATCAGGGAGTGTGTGAGAGAGAGATGATATAGTGGAATTGCACCCTGCCTTCCCTGGGATGTGCCTGGGAGGCAGACCTGACACACAGAGGATTCCTTTCTCTCTCCTCCACCTGCTGGAAAACAGGGACTTGAAGTGATAGGGATCAATCTGTCACCAAGGTTAAGTTGGCCTATGTCAAAACTGCTTCCCTGAAGAAAAAGAGGACATTACCGTAGAAGACTCCCTTCAGAAGGGAGAAATATGCAGGCAGAAACCACTGCTTAGGAAAGTCTGCTGCCTCTCTGGGGTCCAAGTTCCTGCCCTGGTATGGCTGTCAGATAATTCTCCATTATTGGTTTCTCAGATTGGCAGTGATGAGGTTGCACCAGGAAGTCCAAGGGCAATCAGGGAAGATTTCAGGGCCTTGGAATGACTGCTTAAGGGATCAGGAGCACAAATAGTGCTATCATGTGTTCTCTGTCCTTCCAGTTGCAGGAAATGATGGAGGAAACAGGAAGAGCCAGCAGACCAATATCTGAGCTTGGTGCCATTGGCAGAATTTGGGGGTTTTGATCATGGGTCAGTTTACGTGACAGCAGACTGTTAGCAACAGGCAGGGTACACCTGTCTCAGAGGGGGAAAAGAATGTTTGCACAGGAGCTAGCAGGGATCACTGAGAGCTTTAAACCAGATTTGGAGGGGGGAAGACATACAACCAAGTTTGCTAGAGGTAAGCCTGGGGTGCACTACAGCAGTGTTTGAGAGAGAGTGAGGTCCTTCACTCTGCTGCCTTGGTGGAGATGGGATGGAGATCCATTCAGCAGCAGTGACACAGGGGTTATTACTGATGCATTTAAAAACTGTGGAAGCTCCTGAGAATGGTCACATAGGAGCTGGGACTTCTCCTGTGCAAAAAGGGGCAGGATCAATAGCCCATGAAGTGCATGCCAGCAGGCATCAATGCCTGCAACACAGGCAATAAAGAGGAGGAGCTGGACACCACTGTGCAGCAGTAAAACTCTGACACAGTTGCCATTATGGCAACGTGGCGGGAGGACGGGCACAACTGGGGTGTTACTCCTGCCTGGTTAAAAACTGGCCGGATAGCCAGGCCCAGAGTGTTATGGTGAATGGAGTTAAATCTAGCTGGCAGCCTATCACCAATGGTGTCCCCAAGGGTCAGTACTGGGGGCCAGCCCTATCTGATATTTTATTCAGGGATCTGGAAAAGGGGATTGAGTGCACCTTCAGTCAGTTTGGAGGTGAGGCCATGCTGGACTGGAGTGTTGATCTGCTGGAGGCAGGATGGCTTTACAAAACAATGTAAACAGGCTGGATTGAAGGGTTGAGGACCACTGTGTGAGGTTTAATGAGTGCAGTGTCCTGCACTTGAGTCACAACAACCTCATGTAACACTACAGGGTGGGAGCAGAGTGGCTGGGGAGCTGCCTGGTGGAAAAAGACCTGGGAGTGCTGTTTGACAGTGGTTGAACATGAGCCTGCCGTGCCCAGGTGGCCAAGAAGGCCAATGGTCCCTTTGCCTTTATCAGCAGTAGTGTGGCCAGCAGGAGCAGGGCAGTGATTGTGCCCTGTACTCGGCACTGGTGAGGCCACACCTCAGATCCTGTTCTGGGTTCTGTTTTGGGCCCCTCACTACAAGAGGGATGCTGAGGTGTTGGAGTGAATCCAAAGGAGGACAATGGAGCTGGGGAAGGGTCTGGAGAGCAAGTCTGAGGAGGAGCAGCTGAGGGAGCTGGGAGTGTTTAGCCTGGAGAAAAGGAAGCTCAGGTGTGCCCTTATAATAATCTAAAAGGAGCACAAAATTGCACCAGGAGAAGTTTAGATTAGCTGTTAGCAAAAGATTTTTTATCTGAATGGTTTATAAACATCTGAACAAGCTACCCAGGGAAGTGGTGGAGTCACTGTCCTGGGAGATATGTAAAAGGTGTGTGGATGTGGCTCTTGGGGATATTGGTGGACTTGGCTGTGTTAGGTTAATAGCTGGACTTGATCTGAAAGGCCTTTTCCAATTTAAGCGGCTCTATCATTCTAAATTAGTTGACTAAAGTAGTAGACTCTGTTGATCATGTTATTGTTCACCCAGTTGTCTCAAGGTTTCAGAGATGGATAGTTTTATAATCCTTAATAAGTAATGGTCTGTGTCTAACTATTAATGAGCTGATAAAAAGTACCAGACAGCAATTACAGTGTTAAATAAAGCTGTGACAAGGGAGTGAGCAGTAGTCTGAAAACTTGACCTGTGCTTGGGGGCCTACAGAACAGCACTGAACATTGCAGACTGATTAAGAGTGGATTTCTAACTATTCTGTATTTCTTTACAGCAAATTACTCATGCCCACAACACTGTATCTAACTTCAAGAGATTCCATGGCCGTGCATTTAATGATCCTTTTGTTCAGAAGGAAAAAGAAAAGTTGAGCTATGATTTGGTTCCCATGAAGAATGGTGGAGTTGGAGTGAAGGTAAATCTGCAGTGTATCTTTCTGTGTTGTATAGGTAAATCTAAAGTCTTACATTTCAGCACCTGAAATGAAAATATGAGTTTCTTTTAATTATCCTAAAGGTAGGTTGTTTTATTCTCTCTGTTAAAGAAGAGCTCTTCTATGAATAGAAAGCTTTGTCTTTAAATAGTGGATATTAACCTTCAAATTAAGGTTCATTTACAAATAATTGCTGAAATGCAAGTTTCCCTGTTGGCAAATTGCACATCTAGCTCAAATGCACTGGCAGAAAAACTGCTAAGATAATTACAAGGTTGTATGGTTTTACTTCAAAGTATGACTTTCTGCCACTTGTGTGGAATTCATTGCAGCAGACCTATTAGGTGTTTTACAAATGCTTTAGAAAATAGTCAGAACTCTTCTTTAGAATGATTGCCTTAGGAGAGTGGCAAGTGTGTCTTTAGCGGACTGCCTGGAGTCAGTTACTTGCAAAAAGGTGTTCAATACCAGGTCCTACCACATTGCAGGTTTTGCTCTTGCTTGCCTTTCAAGGACTTCACTGATACAATGTCAGCTTTTCATAGAATAGGTGTCATTAATAACATTGTATCCATTTACAGAAATATGTACAATTACTGATAATGAAGCCTTGCTGGCATAACAATCAGTGTTGCTTCCCTGTTGAAGACTTTAACTTGAACTGGTCCCTCATAACTTCAGTATAGATCAGTCCTAAATAGTGAGTAGATCACAGAAAAAAAGGGAAGATGCTTTCTCTTTTGCTGTTTGTGATTTGTGAGGTTAACAGATAAATTCAGACAGAAATTATTGGTTTCCTTTAATCAGTGTGTGTAGTAGTCTTGCACTATGAGAGTCTAGTGTTGGGTGAACTCTACTACCTTTTTTTCTTAGACTGATTGGAGAACAAATTAGTATTTATTTCTATTTAACTGTGGTTAAAAAGTTTTAATAATTGATTCCGTAAAATTCAATAAGACTGGGAGGTTTAGAGAACAATTTTTCTATTAAAACCAAAGTGCCTAGTTTTTCCCCAAACCATACTGAGGGAATAAAAGAGAAGTGTTACTTTCAAGCCTCAGCTGTAGCATATTACTTCACTTCATCATTGTCATGTATTCTATTGCATGATAAAAATGGTGCTTCAGAATATTTTTTGCTAAGAGAGCAATAAATAAACTTTCTGCTAAGCTTTATCTTAAGCTTTTAGTTGTTTCACGTGCATAGGTGAATTGTTGTTGCGCAGTTCTTCCTTTCAGAGACGTCTCATGTATTTGAGCAGAAGGATAAAAATGCTGAGGAAAAATACACAGCAAGTACTTCTGTACATTTTTTGCATTTGGTGTCAGTTTGAAAAATGATGGCTATTTTTACTTAATGGTGTGCCACATTTTAAACTTGTGTCATTTTTGGCAATTTCCTTAATCTATGGAGTTGATACAGTTCTTGATGTTTTAAGACAGGATAGAATTATTGCTTCTAAAAACACTCAGCTGGGAAATTAAATTGTAAACTGAAGTTCTATAATGAAATAATGAAGCATGTCGTGATTCATGGAGTATTAGGCAGCAGTGTATCAAAGAACATTAAATGTATGCAATTTTCCATCAGTTGAACTAATGGAATTATTTTACCTATTCTATCCAGGTCATGTACATGGATGAGGAGCACATCTTCAGTGTGGAGCAGATTTCAGCTATGCTATTGACTAAATTGAAGGAGACTGCAGAGAGTAACCTGAAAAAGCCAGTAACAGACTGTGTTATTTCTGTAAGTAATTGTAGTGCACAGGAACATTATGTCTTTTAACTTCAGCTATTGAGGGCATTTTGTTTCTATTCATGCAGAGTGAAAAAGAACTTTGCTAAGCACTTACAAAGAGATTAACCCAAACTAGGTTTAGAGCTTCTGACTTAAAGAAATCCCAGGGCTGCTGCCATATTCCAGACCCTGACTAACTTAATGAACTCATTCTCTTGGAAATGTCTGGACCTTTGGACCCAAAATGTTTCTGGATCCAGGTATAAATCCTTCTGGAACAGCTTGCTTTCGTGACTAAGCATACTAATTGCTCATTGAAGTAAATACATATGTTTGTGTTTTTCCTTGGATTTAAAACAATTTGATAACAGCTTTGAACAATTTCCTTTGTTTATGAAGATTTGCCCTCTGTCAGCTGAAAATTTCAGTTTCTGTCCTGTTTATCTTCATCCTTTCTGCAAACTTGCTTTGTTTCTTTCACTGTGATGACTGCACAGAAAATGACCTCAGATCAAGATCAGTCATTCCATTGCAAAGCCCCAGTATAAAATAACACCTGCCTCTCTGTTCTCAATGACTCTGAACAAGTCTGTCTCATGTTGCATCTAGGAATATTTAGCTCTGTTATTATTAGAAATGTTGATTCTCCAGTTGAACCTGGAAAGCTTGTTCTTCATGTTTCCCTGGAGGGGGAACATCAGAAGGCACTGTCCAAGGCCAATGCTAGAGATCTGTAGAAAATTTTCAGCAGAAATTCCTTCAGAATTTCTTAGCACTTCTTGCCTGAAGTAATTTCCGCCAAAATAGATTCTTTTCATTTGTTATCCCTTATTTCTTTGCATCTCTGACATCTGTAGTATTGCTGTGTGCTTTTAGTTCCCTCTTTCCTTGTTTGGATAGGAGTCTGCCTGCTAGTTCTGATTAAGGTATTCCATGTCACTGTCTTCATAATACCCAGTTTCGCTTTTTGGGCCAGCACTTCCTGTTATTAGCATTTGTATACAAATAACTCATTTGTTTCTTGCTAGTCTGTGCTCATGTAAACTAGCTGATGCTGGTTTAATTCCATCTCTGAGTAGAATATTTGAAGCGTCAATTCAGTATGGTAGTTGCATTTTGGAGGCTTGAAGGAAGTATCTTCCTCAAAGTGGAGGAATAGATACAATTTTTAAATTAATACTTTCAAATAAGTGGTCTAATGTCTCATTTTCTGGAAATAACTTGTATTCTCACCTACTTTCTTCAGGTTCCATCATTTTTCACAGATGCTGAAAGGAGATCTCTTCTGGATGCAGCTCAGATTGTTGGTTTGAATTGTCTTAGATTAATGAATGACATGACAGCAGGTAAGTAGGATAAAATAGCAGTTCCTGCAATTGACAAGTGGGATAGAGGGTCCATTTAATTACTTTAAGAAAAAGGACTGACTTGAAAAGGCAAATATAAGACATAAATATTTGAAAAAGTTGCTGTTCTTTTCTTGGTTTAATGTCTTCTGTGTGAATGGGTAGATGAGATCAAGCTCCATTGATAATTATCTCCCTGAGCACTTATTTAGAAGCCACTGCATATGCCTGGACTACTTGTTCTTTTGGTGTACTGCCCAGATGCACAGTTGCAGGAGTTAGACACTCCTAAAGGAAGTTCCTTGATTGAACATCAACACCTCATAACTTCCAAAGCTTTTTTTCAGTATAGTCAGGGTTTTAAACAGACACATGGCTCTGGTGACCATTTATACAACTCTCATACAAAACTTCCCAGCTTGGAAAATACTCACTGGAAATACAAAACTGGGTTTGGGTTTTGTTGTTAAGATGTTCTGTGTTTTTGATTACTTTGCAAGGCAAAAAGAAACAAACCCAAACAAATGCTGAAGGAGCATATACATGACTAAGGGAGTATGTTCTGCTTTTCAGGTCCTACAGTTTAGATTAATGGAACAAATCTTCCACAAAGATAGTGTATGTTGCACAGGTGTATGTCTGGATTTGTCTTTATGCTTTTGATCTTATAGCTTTATGTTCACAGGGTTGTTGTGGTATGCCACTGGAAATTAGAGATTGTGTGGATAATATCTGACACTTCTTTTGCAGTGGCTCTGAATTATGGAATTTATAAACAAGACCTTCCAGCTCCTGAAGAGAAGCCACGGATAGTTGTGTTTGTTGATATGGGACATTCTGCATTTCAAGTATCTGCCTGTGCATTCAACAAGAGTAAACTGAAGGTAGTAAGATTAAATGGAAATAAAAATGTTTACCAGCAATTAGAATCAAATAGCCTGCCAATCTGCCTTCTTTTTTAAATTCTTAAATAATTTAATGCATGGAAAGTGGCAACAAGTCAAAAGGCAAAGGTTTTCATCAGTGTTCTTCATTTCATTAGAATTGTTTCAAACAGGATGTAAATTTCTTGCAATACACAAATGTAAGATAAATAATACTAGTGCTATAATTTATTTTGCTTTATCTAAATGAGTGTGTGTATGGATGAAAATTTTGAATACTTAGGATTGTCAGTTACTTAGTCTTATTTCCTCTGTAAAAGTGAAGATCAATTTTTGGCTGATGTGACTGTGCATTGGAAGATAGGCTGACCTGTCCCCAACATTATTTTGAAGCAAGGACTTGCTGATACTGGAAGACTGCTATTCCTTGTGATTTTATTAGTGTTAAACTAAATAATTGTGTTCTTTTAAACCAGGTACTTGGGACAGCATTTGACCCTTTCCTTGGTGGGAGAAACTTTGATGGAAAGCTGGTAGATTACTTTTGTGCAGAAATAAAATCAAAGTACAAACTAGATCCAAAAACCAAAGTTCGGGCTCTTCTTCGTCTGTATCAGGAATGTGAGAAACTGAAGAAACTAATGAGTTCAAATAGCACAGACATTCCCCTAAATATTGAGTGTTTCATGAATGATACTGATGTATCTGGAAAAATGAACAGGTGAGTTCTGTACAAGACAGGCATTTGCTTGAGTGGCCATTTTTTTAAAGAAATGTTTCTTTCTGTGTTTGAAAGAAACTTAATGTGCTAAAATTAAGTGTAAGTGCCGAATAGCTGTGGCGCTTTGTAATGCTAGAATAGCTAAGGCTGGGAAATGGGATGTTCAGCTACCTGAGTAATGTTTCAGTGCAATAAAGCATACATCAGAAGTTTAGATTCTTTTTGTAGAATGTGGTCTTAAAACCATGGATTGATGCTTGCAAACCAGAAGGTTGGTTGCATATTTTGACTTTCTGCATATTTTAGGTAACTTAAATCCCATACTCTCTTAAGATAGCAACAATTTCAGCTTTGTTTCTTTTTTTCTGTTCTTAGTGTACTATGGATATTGATAGAGAAATGGAGAGCAGAAACAGTGCTGATGGGTGATGACTTGATTATGGTCCAAGTGTAAATGAAGTCTGTCTCTCATACACATGTTTACAGGCATGGCTTCATTTGTTCTGTAGCTACTGCTAAGAGTGGTGGGTTGTTTTTCTTCCAGTGTTTAGGCAACAGTTTTTCATGATAAAGGAAGTGTCAGTGTTTTCTGATTTATTTGTAACCTTTGCTCTGAGGCAAATACATAGCAGCTGCCCAAACAAAACTTTTATCTTATTTAACTGCATTGATAGTGGCTTAGGAAAATTTGAAAGCAGCTGTTTGTGTACTACCCTGTCTATGGTTGCCACTTTGGCCTACTCACAGGAGTTTAGCTTTAGGTCTCTGTAGTGTCATTAACCAACCTAGTCAGCATCAGTTTGGAAACAAATACCAGGCAAGGTTCTTGTGGGACAGGCATTCTTTAGTTAATTCCATTTTTTTTCCTCTTAGGTCACAATTTGAAGAATTGTGTGCTGACCTGCTGCAGAGGATAGAGATGCCTCTGCTTTCATTAATGGAACAAACACAGCTGAAAGTGGAAGATGTAAATGCTGTAGAGATTGTGGGAGGAGCAACTCGTATTCCTGCTGTCAAGGAGAAGATTGCTAAATTCTTTGGCAAGGATGTCAGTACAACACTGAATGCAGATGAAGCCATAGCTAGGGGCTGTGCTCTGCAGGTATAGTACTGGCAGCACTTGATGAAATTAAAAGATGTATTTCTTCCATGAATAGGAAGAATAGGTCAAGCAGTTATGAAGAATTGTAGAAGTGGTCCATTTTAAAGTACTCAAGGGAACATACATGTTCACTAGGTCTTTTTATGGGACTGTACTGTTTAAAAAGACCAGAGTACTCCTCCCTGGTGCAGTACCCTATTGCAGGGTGCATTCTGTAAGCAGCCCACTCTGCTCTTGAGAAGAACACAATCTAGAGATCTTTAATGCCAAAAATTCAAGTTGCTGTCAAGCTGAAAGTTACTTTTACTCAACAAGGTATAAGATCTATGGAGAGCCCAAACTACTGCAAGTTTGACTTTCCTGGTATCCAGCTTGCTATTAATGTGAAACAGGTTTTATTCTGTCTCCCTCCCATTTTTACTGTTTCCAGCTATATTTTACAAGCAAACCACACATTCTGTATTCTTCCTTTTCTCCTTTAACTTCTTGTCTTATTTCACCCTCTTCTCTTTGACTTGTTTCTTTACTCTGTCTCACTGACAGTTTTCCATTGCCAGCAATCAGTTGTGTTCAGGGAAAGAAGCAAGACCCTTTGGATAAACGCTTCTTTTAGGAGTAAGCACTGTAGAATTTCTCTTTTATATAGTCCTGCTATTTCCTTAGTGTTACCTTTACTCGCAAGCTGCAAAAGACCTGCTAACACAGCACACAAACACTTGTGTGTGAGATTTCTCTTCTCATACTGCATTGAAATTGAGTATTGAAATAGTTCTGTCTAGTAAAATCAATACAGTTTTCACTTGTTTGAAAATTTTTTGCTGTCATGTCTAGTGGAGTAGAGGAGTTAACCAGCTTTAATGCAAGCTTTTTTGTTGTTTGTTTTTTATTTTTTTTTCAGTGTGCCATTCTTTCTCCAGCTTTTAAAGTGAGAGAATTTTCTGTGACAGATGCTACACCTTTTCCAATATCTCTGCTGTGGAACACAGAAGCAGAGGACACTGAAGGGTAGGTAGCTCAGACTACCATTCCATGAAGCCTTTGACCTTCATAATTCAGGGGTCATGTTCTTGCTTGCACTTAAACTAGGATTTTGGCATTCTCATGCAGAAAACCCATAGGCATGTACCAGAGATGGTTTACAGGGAAGATTGTAAAGACATAGGTTGAAATTTGAACTGTAATTCCTCATTTGTAAAAACATAAAGATTTTAAAAAAGTGAGAGAGCTACCAACTAGTATCTGGTCTTGCCTTTATCTGGTTGTCAGGATTAGAAATATAAAATTAGATCAGTGCTTGGGTCGTGATTCCACTTTGCCTTCTGGCTTTTCATTTTTTACTCAAGGTGTTCCTTACACCTAAGATTCTTGATTTATTAGTAATGTTAGGTACTATGGAAATATTGTGAACTTATATGGATGCTATTTATCTGACTGCAGGAGCAATTTAACACCTAGCAAAAATTTAACATTTGTAAGAGTGATTTCTTGCTGCAGTCTCTTATGACTGAAATCTGTTACTAATTGTGCCATGCCTGTGGGAAATGCAGTTGTTTTCTAGGATGTAAAGAGCTCCAAGTTCAACCTGTGGAAAAATCATGGTTCTAGAGGGATCTGTTCTTACCTTTTTCATGTTCTTTGTAGTTCAGCCTTTTTTTTTCTTCCTGTCTGTTTTCTGTGGAGGTGCAGGGGCTAATTGTTCTGTCACTTATGAGAGCAGCCTGTGGGTTCCTGTTCTAGGTAAAGCTCTCATTTTCTCACATCTGGGTTATTAGATGAGATCTTCCACAGTTAGGAGACAAAACTTAGTTGGAAATTGGGATCAGGCTGGCATAATAGCGGACATGCCATAGAACATGAAGTAAAGCTGGTTGTTTTTCTGTCATGTTGAGGAATGAATAATAATCTGGTGTCAGGGTTCTCAACTGAGCCATGGAATGTAAATGAGCAAGGAATTAACAGGGCTATAATTATCCCTTTGAGACTAAGGAAGGGTGCAAATTATGATTCAAAATACACTACTTCAAGCTCAAATAGTGGAATAGGACAAGTTCTCATTACAGTAGAGAACAGTAAATCCTTTTCCTTGCAGTACAGTAGTGAAGTGTCTTTATTGGAATTGTTAGAAGGGTAAATGCTTCAAAACATGATATTCCTCTAAAGAGTTCTGACCCTATATCAAAACCTTCCAGCTCAAATACACTGCTAAAAGTGATACTTTTCCCTTAATTACAGAGTTCATGAGGTCTTCAGCAGAAATCATGCAGCACCCTTTTCTAAGGTACTTACATTCTATAGGAAAGGTCCATTTGAGCTAGAAGCTTTTTATTCTGATCCTGATGGAGTCCCATATCCTGAGTCAAAAATTGGTAAGTAGTCGTCCTGGAAATAGTGTTGTCTCCAATAGAACAATTTGAAATCGAAGAGTAACTGTTGTGCAGTATGGTTATGATGTATATATTCAGGCTTTTGTCTCTGAAGGACTCAGAATGTTCCCATTCCTGAGACAACTGAATCGGTATTTTTTATTTTTCTTGCTTATAGTGTTGCTTTGGCTGAAGGAAGAAATGAGGGAGAGCAAATCAATGCCTACAACTAAAATGTGGTTATGACTACTAAAGATAGCTTTTTGACTTTTTTAATATTTTCTGTTTTATCACTGAAGCAAGCTAGGAATAATTGAATAATATCTCCTGTATATAAAAAAAAACATGTCTTGAATAACTAGTTGTTGTTTTTACCTATGCCTTCTGGGACTGACATAATGCTGAGTAACTTCTAATCAAAGCAGCCTGAAATAGTGGCAGCTACAAGACTACAGTATTGATTTGTCTATGTAACACTTCTAAGCAGTTCTTTCATACTTTTTGACAAATTGCAGCACTTGACAGTGTTGATACTTACAAAGAGCTTACAACATGGTTAGCTGGAAGATGGTAAAGACAGGCCAATTAAATAATTGTTCTTGAGTTCTAAACATGCAATTAAATGTTGTTTGTTTGCATGCCATGTATTTTGAAAAACCAGCACAAGGGAGAGGGACTTATTACAAGCACAAGTAGTGACAGTACAAGGGGGAATAGCTTTAAAAACTGCAAGAGAGCCTGGTTTAGATTAGATATTTGGAGCAAATTCTTTGCTGTGAGACTGGTGAAGCACTGGAATAGGTTTCCTAGAGAAGTTGTGGATGCCCCATCCTTGGAGGTATTTAAGACCAGGTTGGATGAGGTCCTGAGCAACCTGGTCCAATGAAAGAGAGAGAGTTTGAAATGCAGTCTTTAAGGTCACTTCCAACCCAGGCCATTCTACGATTCTCTGACTGTATTCTGTAGTTACAGAAACATCAGACTGCCTTTTGTGGCTTACTCTTACCATGAAGACTGATGGTGGGGTTTGTCAGTGTTCAATTAATTTGGCTTTGACAAATGAGAAACTGTTTATGCGCTGTTCTGAAAACTGGTAAGAACAGAACTGAAAATCGGATTTGTTTCAACTCAGTTGCCAGTTAATTCTTTGCTCAGAACAGAATTATTGGTATGACTAATGGGTGAAGTAGTAGTTCTAATGAGACTCACAAAAAAGAGAACGGGTCACACAACTCCAGTATTATTGGATTTACAAGAGAGAGGATTATATTCCTGTGAGAAAGGCAGGTAAAAGCTTGTGCATTTGTGATCTAGATCTGTTGCTGAAGGAATGGTGTGTGCAAATATGTATGTTTGGCCTGTGAATTTGGGCAGCTTGTACTTTGCAGCTAAGTGAGCATTCTGGTCTCCAGGTCACTCTTTTGGTAATCCATGCATAAGGAAAAATGTCTGCAGTTAATGTCAAGGACATCTGATTCTTCATTTACTGTTGAACTAATTGTCTGTTTATTAGTTTCACAATGCTTGTTTCAAGTATTACAGTAGTTACAGAACAGTTATGTTCTGCCCAAGAATAAAAGGTAATGGCAGACTTGCATGGATGTTAGAAGCTGTAAGGAAAGCCTCTAGAAATATTCTTTCTGTGTTGGGCAGTAACTTGTATTAGAAAGGCACCACTTAATATTGACATTAGACTAAGCCCTTCAGTAGTTTTCTTTCAGCCCACTAGTAACACAGAGAGCACCGGTTTTGTATTTACTCTGTATTAGTTGTGTCAGGAGAACCTACTCTTCACTTTATAAGGTGAAGTTAGCTGAAAAGCAGTGTACTTTGGTTTTGTTGGTTTTTTTTTTCTGGTAGTACTGATTAAATTTGAGGGACCATGAGTTTAGCATGGAGGCTTCATTAAATATTTAGAAAACAGTTTGTCTATGAAAAAGGGAGATGTTTTCCTGGCTCTGTAATATTACCTACTTAATTCCACTGTGTGAGTTTTGATTCTTTTGGTTTTAGGTAGGTATGTTATCCAGAATGTGGCAGCCCAGAAAGATGGAGAGAAGTCTAAAGTCAAAGTGAAAGTCCGTGTCAATACTCATGGCATTTTCAGTGTGTCCACTGCTTCTATGGTAGAACCAGTTAAAAGTGAAGAATGTGAAGATGTCAGTGTTGAGACTGAAGTGGAAGCTCAGGACCAGAGGTCTATTGAAAACTTCAGTGATGTAAGTTGACCTTTCTTGTGTGTGAATGTCCTTAATGATTGATGAAAGTGTGTTCTGCTGTTACATACTCTGGAAGAAAAATACCTTCCTCTAAGGAAGCAAAAGGAGATTAATTTTAAGATGTGTGTAGCTGTCAGGAAATTGTCTTTACAAGAACAGGAGATAATTTGTGCTATCTTGAAAGTGTGTGGATTTCGAAATCAGTTATTGTGTGAAGTGCCAAATAGTGACAGGTTGTTTGAGGGTGGGGTTGCTTATAGCTGCCATAGTTATCCAACTGTTCCAAACAGGAAAACTAGATTTGGATTATTAATTATCCATGCACTTTGTGGTGGAAGAATTTGTATGTAACCCTTTGTATCAGTAAAGTTTTTTGAAACTTTTTGTGAAAGGGAAAGCTGAATTGTTTTCTACAGCATCGAAGGAGAGGGGAGCACTGGGGAATAATGCACATTGTTATAGTCTACTTGATCTTTTAATAGTTTTGAGGGGGAAAAAGTAAACATTATGACTCAAGAAATTAAAAGCCCCTTTTTGTAAGAGAAAGTGTTCGCACGTGCACACACGCACAAGTATTGTGCAGCAAGCCTGGCACTGGTAACATTTTCATGACCTCCTTCTGAACTTGCACCCAGTCTGTATCTCCAGAGCTGAAGCGTGTGTGTTTCTGCGTGTGCACAGAATGCTGTGTAGGGCACTTTGTACCGTACGTGCGTCAGAAGTGACGTGCCCTATACTTAAATGCAAGTGCACATGCCTTCTACATCCTTTGTGCCTGGGCTTTCATTTCAGAAAAATATCCAGCAAGAGAACAGTGAGGCTGGAACACAGTCCCAGGTACAAACTGATGGTCAGCAAACGTCACAGTCTCCCCCTTCATCAGAACCTCTCTCTGAAGAAAACAAAATCCCAGATGTCAAGAAAGTGAGTGACCCTTTAACTCTGTTGAAAATGTTATCCTATATAATGGCTTTTAAAATGGTAATATATTTCAGGAAAAGTAGGAACTTGGTGTTGGAACCTTTTTCATTTTCACACCTTTACTATAGTGAAAAATAATATCTGTATCTTGTGATGATTTCTGTACAGAGTTTGCAAAAGGATTCCTGCAAGAAGTCTTTCTGTACCACTTCCATGTCTTCTTGCAGTGTTGTACAACTCGTTTATTTGGGTTGCAGACATTTCAATTTAAACAGCAGTTAAAGGCCAAGCTTATTAGGCCTGCTGAGGGAAGCTGGGATCAGGAATTCATAAACCTAAAAGGAAGCAATCAGTGTGAAACATTTGTCTGCATGTTATTGCTAGTGATTTCATTTTTTTCATCTGTATGAGATGAAAAATGCTTGGGTTAAAGTCTTAAGGCCTATCAGCATCATTAGTGAACTGCTACATTACACATGAACACTTCTGGAAAATCTGCAAACACAGCATATGTCTGAGGAATGTCCTTGCTGCAGCTCGGTGCTTTCTGTCTCGAAACAGACTCTCAGGAGACTAGGATAGGAGGTGGAATCCCCAAAAGGAAAGTGCCTCACGAGCATATTTTGAAGATTTTAAAAGAACATGGAAAAACCTTTGTGTGTTCTTCCTCTGAATGTATCTTTCATCATAGCAGTACTTCATCAGAAAGAAGTCGGAAAAATTATCTTATTTTTCTTCTTTCTAACTCAGACAAATGAGAAGAAAGGTGATCAGCCCCCAGAAGCTAAAAAACCCAAGATAAAAGTGAAGAATGTGGAACTGCCCATTGAAGCTAACTTGGTTTGGCAGTTAGGAAAAGATCTCCTCAATATGTATATTGAAACAGAGGTGAGTTAGTGTGGTTTAGACTGCTTTCTTGTGTGCAGTTATTAACCATTCACCTGCTTCTCAAGGCAGCCTCTGTTCTTGTTCTGCCACCCTGGAGTGTGGGCTCAGTTAACAGTGAGCTAACACGCTGTCTGCCTTCTAACACATAACTGACAAATGTTTATCAGAAAGACTGAAGTGTCCTTTGCATCAATTAGTATCAGAGCACTGATCCGTGGAATGGCATCACAGATTCATTTAAACTGTTGTAATCCAGAGAAGTGCAACTCATTTCTTCAGATGAATCTACTGCATAATAATGAGAATTTCAACAGTTACGTGAACCAAGGCTTCTGGGAGACTTTACGGGAGCTGTGCTTCATAGAATGCTGTTTGAACATTGTTATTTTTTAATTAAAATATTTTCTGTGGTATACAGGGAAAGATGATTATGCAAGATAAACTGGAGAAAGAAAGAAATGATGCAAAGAATGCAGTGGAGGAATATGTATATGAGTTCAGGGACAAGTTGTCTGGACCATATGAAAAGTTTGTTTGTGAAAAGGTAGGTTATGGTTTCAGGAACTTCTCTGAAAATACCAAGTATCTGTTTTGTATACCTTGGTTAAACTTGGTCAAAGCCACCCTAAACATAGCTGCAAAACCAGAGCTTCAGTTGAGTGATGGCAGTGACTAACCCAGAATAAGGCTTAGGTGTAACAAATACATATCCCTGAAAAAAGAATTTGTCACAAATGGAGTGAAGTTTTGCTTCCAATTGGAACTGGTGACTGGAAGGGGGAACTGTGTTGCTTTATGTGTAACCAAAACCATGAATTAGTTACACTCCAAGCATTGGCCTAATCAAACACAAAAGTCTGTAAATGCTACCTTTGTTGTAGATGTGTGTTCCTTAGTCCAGAAGCTGGCATGGTTTAAGTAACTAAATTAGGCAAAAGCTGCAGTAGAAATTAAATTTTTATACAGGAGGCTAAGGATTCATGTGTATATTTACCTCTGTTATGTTCCTTCAAGACAAACATAGTTGATTGGTGTGTATTTCAGTGTTTGATGTGTTGAATTATATTGACACGCAGGATCTGCAGGGATTCTCTGCCCTCCTAGCAGAGACAGAAGGCTGGCTGTATGAAGAGGGTGAGGATGAAGCAAAGCAGGTGTATGTAGAAAAATTAGAGAATTTAAAGGTAGGCCTGTTAAAATGCCCGAAAAGCAAAATTTCCAAAAGACTGTGCTAAACAACATTAATGAATGTTAATGAATCACATAAACATGGAGGAATTGCTTTTTCTAGAAATTAGGTACTCCAATTGAAATGCGCTTCCAAGAGGCAGAGGAGCGACCAAAGCTATTACAAGAATTGGGACACAGGCTCCAGTACTATGCTACAATAGCTGGGGAATTCAGGAATAAGGTAAGTGGCCTTTTTTTAACCACAGTGCTTCTGTGAGGCTCATTGGCTGGAGGGCTTCAAATGCACTTTCAGATGAGCTGTGAACTACTGCTATATAGGTCACAAATTTAACACCACAAATGTTTCCCAGTACTCAAAAAATCTCATGCAGTGTGTCATATCTTCAGTTGCTTGATACTTCTGGATGTTTTCAGGCTAAAGAGGGTGTTCTAATAAAGAGTTTAGACTTGTGGTCTGATTCTTGACCTTTAAAAAACTGATCTGTTTTTTAGAAATGTGCTCCTCTTTCAGGGACAAGAATTATTGTATGGTGAGAGGCATTAGTGTAAAACCTAGCTGCAGATAAAGTAAAAAACACAATTTTGTTATATGTGGATATTTGGGGTTTGGGTTTTTGTGGGGTTTTTGTTTGGTTTTTTTTTCATTTTTTTTATGTTCTTGATAAGCTTTGCAGTCTGAAAATTTGCTCCTTGAAATTCCGCTTTTAAAGAATTTTAATAGGATGGCTTTCAACACTCAGACTCATTAAACCTGATACTTAACATCAGAAACAATTATGTCTTCACAGCTATAGATTACAAAATTAAGTGAAATCATTAGTAGTGTTACATGTGAAATAGCTAGCATCATTGTAAATAGTATATTTAAAAACTTGGTTTTATTTAAGAATTCTAAATGTGGATTCATTGGTTGTGTTCCTGGGTAGGTCCTTCTCCTGATAGTAGTTAATTGTGTAACTGTAGCATTGTAGGGAATGCTAAAGTTGGAAACTGTGGTCCTTTCCCTGTACATCAGAATCTCAATGTCTAAACTATCTTGGGCACAGGTAGCTCCTCCAGAACAGGAGGGAATGTTTTTTTATATCAGCTTTTTTAAGTATGTTATATTTTATTACATGACCTTTTTGTGAAGCTTCTATGCCCTCTGTGAACCAGATTTCTTGTTCATTTGGGTAAAGGAAGCTTTATATTCACATCTGTATTTCCTGTTGTCTCTGGCTGTAATGGATCTCCCTTGTGGCTAACTTCTATTTGTTTTGACCATTGGAAGAGATTTACAAGTTATAAATGATTGAGATAGACTTGTTGGCATACCTTCATCGTGTTATTAACACTTGACAGTTATTAGCTAATACAAAATGTTTGTATTTGGACAGGATGAGAAATACATCCATATCGATGAGATGGAAATGATGAAAGTAGAGAAGTGTGTTAGTGAAGTGGTAGAGTGGATGAATAATGCTGTGAGTGCACAGGCTAAGAAGAGCTTAGATCAGGATCCAGCTGTGCATTCAAGTGAAATTAAGGCAAAGCTACAGGTAAGTACCGTAAGAAACTATCTTTAGAGGTTGGTGCTAAAAGTAGACTGGTATCTGTGCCTTTTGTCTTCCCCGGTTTCATCTCGCTGCTCTAGTGTTCTTGAAAGGTAGAAAGTATGGAAAGGAGGAGATTCAGCAGAAAGAGGAGCTCTAGTGTACTGTAAACAATTCTGTGGAGCTCATTGATATTTTGTCTTTCAGTCCCCTTAAAAACTCAGGTTGTTTTTCAGTGTTTTACTGAGAGACAAAATAGTATTGAGAAAAACCAATGTGAAATCCAAAATACTTAGTTGAACTCTGCCCACAGAACATCAGAAAATATACCAATTAATTTATTTCAGAGTGCAATAAGTACTTGTCAGTTTGGACTCAGGGGAACAAATGCAGAAGCCAATTTCAAGCAGTCTTTTGGACACAGGACTTTTTGCACTAGTGAACTTGGTGGCTTCTTAATACACATTCTGCCCACATCTCTTCCATTTTTTTTTAGGAGTTAAACAATGTCTGTGAGCCTGTTGTGACACAACCAAAACCAAAAGTTGACTCTCCTAAGGAGGAAAACCCATTAAGTGAGCAGAGTGATTATAAAACTGAAGACATGGGAGATGATAAAAATTCTGAAATGCCTCAGCAAAACGGCGAATGCCATCCAAATGATCAAAACACCATTAACATGGACCTGGACTAAGCCACTGCACTTGCAGCAAATTATTTCATCCCATGACAGAAGATGTTTTGGCTGTCATATGTGATGGGGGTGGGAATGCATTGTTTTGGAAACTATTTATATTTTTTTCTTAAGACTTGTCTGGGAGTATGTTATGTTGTGGGAGGAAGAATAGTAAAAGTGTTGGTCATGACTATCCTAAAAGGAAAATTGCCTTGGTAACTTTCAGATTCCTGTGGAATTGTGAGTTCATACTAAGCTTCTGTGCAGTATTTAACCATTTGCATCACTAAAGATGAAAAGAAGCCCTTGCTTTGAAATGTACTGCTCCTTTAAAAGGTTGTAATCGAAACACTCGTAGGCATTTGTAGATGCCAAGGTAGTTTTCTTTTGTCTGGACATCTAATTGGGTATGTCAGAAAAAGCCAGTGTCTGTCCCCTTCACAAGAACTTTTCAGAAGAAATCATTCTGTCTGAGATTTTTGATTGTTACAGTCCAAAGTACTTATCAGGTAATGAGATGGTGAAATGTGTTAGTAGCATGCAGAAACGCTTACGTTTCATCTCTTGCTCAACAATACATTTTCATGTGGGGTACATAAAATGAAGGAAATGCTAATTCTGTTAGTGTTATTGTGAAGCTTTTTAAAGAGCTTTGAAATAAAGTTCATTTTACTGGTATCTCCTGACCTCTTGAGTGTAAGTGTTTGCAGTACTTCTGCTCTTAAGTGTTGCCCTCCTTACAGTTTGACAGACCATTGCTTTGTATTTCTGTGCAGGAGAGTTATAAACACACTTAAAACTCTCACACTTTGCACAGAACCAGTTGTACAGTGAGATGAATGTAATTTAGCCCCTTAATGAGTAATGCCTCTTTCTTTTCTTTGGCCCAAGCGTTGTAAACACCTGAAAGAACCCGAAAACTTCACAGATGTTAGAGCATAGGACAGTGTTTGTAACTGATGCCTATATAACTTAGGTTAAAAGATACTTATATAGCTTGAGTTAGAAGATATCAATATAACCTAATGTATCTGTATAACCTGGTACCAATATAACCAGAATCATAACTTTTATACCTATGTAACCTGATATAAATAACTTTCTATACAGTGTAATGGCTAGTTGCTTAATGCTGAATAGACAAAAAAGAAGGAAAAACTCACCAGGTGGGCAGTTTTAGAGATACATAAGTATACTACTAATAAGAAATTGGCAAATGTAAAGGCAATTAGCCACAAAACAAAGAATTTAGGCTGGCTAAGACCAGCCTGACCAAGGAACACTGTAACTGCACATGCTCTGAAGACAAGGTTGAAAAGCTCAGATGTGAAGAAGACCTTGGAAGCCTTCATCAAAGACCCCTGCTGACCCTGAAATGGGGAGGCACAGGTGCAATGCAGAAAAACTATCTAATAACCATGAGATCACACATGTGATGATGTTATAGTGATACTAAGCAGTACTTACTCTATAAGTACACCACAGCACTTGACAAAAGTGGGTGAGTAAGGTGGAGAAATCCCCCTCATCACCGTTGCTGCAAGAAGCAAATAGCTGCTCTGTAGACATTGGTCTGTGGGGATTTATTTCCAGCCTAATGGAACCATGTAACTTAGAAATTGTAATCCATGGTTCAGAATAAGGTGTTAAAACCTGGTTAAATACTTAGGCTAGGCTCTGCTTTTTGTTATAGACTAAACTGAAATAATGATATTTTCAGCCCATTCAAGTTTTTCTGATCAAACCTTAGTAAAGGTTTTAAAAACTAAGAATTCCTCTCAAGTAAATCTCTCTAGTCTATTGGAGAAGATTTTTTTGCATACTTGGTGCAGGGGAGGATACTCTGTGTTAAACATCAGATTACACTAGGGAATATTAGGCACCTGAAATGCTGTGGGAAGAATTTTTCTTGGAAGCATATTCTGAAGGCTGTTAACTCTGCTGATGCATGCAAGCACAGATCCCATATGTAACCATGTGGCACCAGATGCTTAAAGATCAGTGTCACTAAATGCAAAAGTGTTTTGGTTTGTTTTTTTAGTAAGGGTTAATTGTGGCTACAGCAGTATTTCATCTGGAACAACAAAACCTAATGGAGAAAAGATAAATTGGCGCCATGGGAGCTACTAAAGAGGGAGTACAGATGAGAGGACTGGTGCTTTCAAGGGCCAGCTAATCCTATCTAAGGCAAGTCTTTTTCTTCTAGCTGGTGTTTTTAGCATCACCTTCCATGAGTCTTCTCACAGCCAGGGGCAGGAGCTCTAATGCAGTGTGTGCAGTTTCATGCAGTAGTGCCCAGTTTTCTGCTTTGACAAATTGACTGCATATAACCCATTTGATAAGTGGGTTATCAAAATGCAGATCACTGTTATTGGCTGCTTTGAGTTGCCTCTTTTTCACTTCTGCTGATTCATCAGACAATGGTGTACAATTAGCAACAATAGAAATATTTTGATTTTTTTCCTTTTCCTAGCACTAAGGGATTGAAAGACCGGACTTCAAAACCATGTCTGAGGTATGGAGAAATATTTCTGTGATGGTACCAGTAGAGTGGTTTCATCAAGGGTTAACTGTTACTAACAGACTACTGTTTGCTTACATTATTGCTGATATGGAAATTGACTTATATTGCAAAATGAGTGAGATGTCTTAGGAGAAAGCTTAGCTTAATCAGTGGAAAATTTTGTAGAGGCATTTGAAGTATAATTCTGTCAGAAAAACTAGTCCTGAATCTACAAAAAGCAGCTTTTCTGGTCCTGATGGATTGCCATGTATTGAGTTACCTCTACAGAAAGTACTGAATTTTTCCTCTAATTTTCCTCTAATAAAAAGCCTTCATAAAAAGTTTGCACTGAGAACAGATGAATCTGGGCTGGATTTGTTTTCTAATTTCTGCACTGTTAACTATTTCATACCAACTAATGGTGTGACAAGTGATGAATCCCTTATGATTAAGTGGCTTATTTAAATCTTTACAGTGCTTGTGCTTTACCCTGAGAGGGGGAAGAAAGAAAACAAGAATAGGTCAGTGATACAACTTTACCTTCCCTCCTTTTACCCCAGTTTAAGGACTTTGCTTTCTAATTTACCTTTTACCAGAACATGAGGAAACCCTGTGTGCCAGCTCCACTTTGATCTCAGTATCAATGACAGGGAGGTGAGGAGGTTCAGGATGGCAGCTCCCTTCATGCTGCAGCATAGCACAAAAACAGTACCACAAGACACAGATTACTGGCCAGCTGAATCTCACTGGTACAAGGGTGTAAGGGCCTTAATATTTTACTGACTGAATACTGCACAAAGGTTTGACTCTCCTTTTGGAAGGAGAGAAAAAGTTAACTTGATTCCTCTAAAGCAAGCTTTTGCAATTCTTTTCAAAAAGGATTTTTGGTGCTGTGCATTGTTGCATTCACATCCAATGTGTATCTTAGAGTTCCCGATTTCACCCAAGTCTTTACAGCTGTTTTACTATAGTGACATTATTAATAGGGGGGAATTTATGTCAGTATTCAGTGTGGTTTTATTTTTGAGGCACAGCCTTTCTCAAGCTGTGTTCTGAAATGCTTTAGAGTCCTTTGACATATCATAGAAAAGTGTCTTATGAATACATATGTTTGTTTATTATTCATAAAATGTGTGCTGTATACAAAAAACTCAAATGCCCCACTAAAAATGTTTAAGGTCATATTAGGGGTAAACACTCAAACTGTACCTAATCAGATTGCCTTTTTGGACCATTATTAACCTTAATTACATATATAAGTATTCCTTAACCACCTTTATGTTCCCAGCATAACAGACTTGTGAGTTAACTCACTCTTTAAAATTTATAAACTCACAGCATACATCAGGTTGCCTAAAATTTGCTCTTTGTCCAATTTGGAGTCTTAGATGACTAAAATTTATGTAAAATACATGGGACTTGTCATAACTGTTGTCTTTTCATTTGCCATTTTTTTTTTCCTGAAAGCTTTAGTGGAATGAAGAACTGTGAGATTATGCACAGTTGGAGAAACTATATTTTTACATGAAATTTTAAAGTATTTTAAGCCAAGAAAAGCTTAGAACCACATAAAAGATATGGACAAAATAAGTTTAAAAAAAGGGTAAAGTCCTAACATTTATCCATTGTATAACCTCTTTCACACAGGTCTGATGTTGTGTGTTTTGGCAGCCTACCGCTACATATACCGGCTACAATTGAAGTCTAAGTGATACATTTTAATTCTTGGTCAGGTACCTTGCCCTCAGTGAAATATCATTTTATTATTTACTGCTCCCATTTTGTAATAGGTTTGACTTTCCTCAGGGGGTGTGTGTTGCAAATGATGGAGCCCTAATAAGATAATTTCTCTGGAATACCAAATATACTTGTATAATTTATAATAAAGTTCTCATTTATCAGGTTGGCTCTTTATAGGTGAGTTGCTAAATTTGAGTGGAGTTTTTAACTTTGTTGTTACAGCTGAGCATCTGATTGTCAGGGTGTCCACTGCTCTGGTACAGATAATGTTTGTGTTCCATGCATATATTTATGCTTTGTACCTCCCTATGATTAAACCACAGTACAGCTCCTTGAAAAATACTCCAAAAAGAGAGATGTGTTTGTTTATTCCATGGACCTTGATCAATTCCCCCAAACTGGTATTGATTTCAATGAGTTTTAATTCAGAGAGCTTTCAGCTGACTTTCAAAAGTGGTGAAGGAGACAAAACTGAACAGAACAAACCAGAACTTTAGCATAAAATATCCATGTTTTGTTACCGTTAAAAAGGCATAGCAGGCACAATAAAACCTCTTAACATTTTAGATTGTCTTATAAAGTGGCCTGTAGTTATCCTGGCTAAAGGAAGTAAAAATTATATCCTCCTCAGAATGAAAGTTGCATAGAAAAACTAGACAAATCCCAAAGGCACTCCCTTGGGAATGAAGAAACCTCATCCTGTCACCTGTAGGCCCTAGTGATTTAAAATGCAGATGGAGACTAAAGCAGATGAGACATGAGAAAAGTACAGGTCTGAACACCAAGAGCAGTCCATGAATCTAGGCTGTATGGGCTCACCCACCCATGGCTCCAGCAGGAGGGTGTTAGGAAAGGCCAGGCTGGCTTCCTGCAGGTTTTCCTTCCCTGTACACCTGCTATGTGCCACTTGCTCAGGCCTTAGCGTGCTTACCCAGTGTGCTCCAGGCAGACTCCAGAGCTGAGCTGTGCCATCCAAAGGCAGGGACAGCAGGACTCTGTCTTTGCACATCGACTCTGATCTATCAAAGCAGAGGCAGAGCAGCACAGAGATGCACAGGTGCCTACCAGGAGCCCTGTGACAGCATCACTGCCTGGTGCTGCCTGCTGTTAGCTCTGAGCTGAGGTTCCTGTGCTGTCAGGGGATGGTAGTTAAGTAACTTAATCACACTGCCATTGAAAACCAGCTGGCTATAGGCCTGTGTGCTTTTGGATATTTCCAGCCCAAACTGAGCTATGCAAGACCATACCTACACAGTAAGTGTTCCTGTGTGCTTGCCTGTGATTCCTATCTACAGGAAATCAGGGAATGAATGTGTAATGTTCCATACAATTCCCAGTCATACACAAATAGAGGTCAGTAGAAAAGAATGTGTTGATGAATGGCATCTCAAAGAGGCCACACTTTGTGCAGGGCCAAGCACAAACCCTGACAAGT